TATTTTATGATGATGAGGGGAGGGGTGGGGGATGAAAAGTCGGTCATCAAAAGGCAAGTTTTTTGTTTATCGCTTAAGATACTTTTTACCCAAAATAATGATATAATACCAAGCGCGGGTGAAGGGCGGGAGTATTTATAAGTAATAATATAAACTTGGGCAACGCCGGGCATTCCAGCTAGTTTCACATAAACTGACCAGTTATAAAGCTTTTTTATTTTTAAACACTTTTAGCCATATATATTCATCATTTATATTTGTCTAAAGCAAAATTACAATTAAAAAATACAAAAGTTTACAAACTAATACTCTTTTCTATGGATATCTCATTTTATAATTGACAGGGTTTGCCAAAAAAACAGGTGCAATACAAGACTTTTAGCATGAGTATAGTTTAGCTATTCAGAAAAGGGGTTTCTTGGTCCCAGTCTAGTGTTTTTCGTTTTCTAAAAATGTGGTATGATGACAGTACTGCAAGGCTTGATAGATTTTCGCACATTGCTTTGAAACTAACACTGGGTTTGCAGAACTTATGCAGTTTCTGTAGAATCGACTTATTTGATGGTGAAATATATCCTCTTGAGCCGATTTCAAAAGGATGAACAGACACATCCCTATAGTTGTTATATCTGTGATAAAATGTTCATACTTGTTCATCTTTTGAGCATTGGCATTTTTGATATTTGTTTCCAATGGGACGGTAAGCTCAAAAATATCCATCTTTTCCTCCATTCTATCGATAATTACTAGATCGGTTTCTCTGCGGTCACAAGGAGATGGGGGGGAGGGGCGGGAAGCAGTACCTCCCCCTGGAAGGAGATAAAATATTGTTTTAATAAGCAGACTATTCCTATTAATCATTAGCGGCACATTGATTTTTTTTAAAAATCTACAAGGAATATGATTGAACAAGATTAAAGGTTAAATTTGAAAAGTTATTTTTAAACATCGTAAAGGGTTACCCAAAAAGGATGAGAATTTGAGACGACAGAACGGAATTTAGTCAGTCTTTTTTCTTTCATTGATAGTTCCCAATAACTTTTCCAAATCATTTAGTACACAAATAAAAGACTGCATTTAAGAGCAAATAATTAGTTTTTTTTTATAAAAGGTGCCCCTAAATAATGTTTAAAATAAATAACCACTGAACTGAAAAGAAAAATCTATGCTCAATGATGATATTCAAATTTAGATTGTATTTTAATTAATTTTACATTGAATTAGATTGTATTTTAATTCTAAAAATGACCAAATAATTCTCAAAATGATCAAAACGGGCAAATGTTTTTTGTAAAATAATTTTTTCTCGGGAAAGCTAGATTTTACAAATGTATTTTTTCTTTGTCTTTTTTCAACAATTATTTATCAGTTATATTTTTTGGAAATTTTTAGATTTCTTGTATTTTATGTTGAATCATGCTTGATGGTTTAAAACTTAAACTAATCGATTCTAATTAAAGCGTACACGAGAACCTGCACTCAAAGGGAACGTTCGATATTATAAAACAAACTACGAAAAGTTAAAATTCTAGATTTTCACTCGTAAAAGTAAAAGAAAAAATTATTTATTTATGAAATATAACAAAAACATACAAAATAAAGTGTTTCAGGAGAAAATATTTAAAAACCTCTAAAAGTAGAGTTACATATTTATTGTTTACACTTAATTTAAATTAGTGGTGGATTGTTAGTATTTTTCGACGATGAACTAACAACTTTTAGAAATAAAAATTATAGATTAATTTGTAATGTTAAAAAAAGTAAAAAAAAGCTTTATGGAGTGTGAAAAAGATATAGGTTCTATGAAAAACAGGCATTTTTAAGCATCTTTTTATTCGCGCTGATTTTTGACATCCTTTATGTTTGATTATATCTTTTACTCTTTTTAATCTTTTTATTCTTTTCTTTGTAAAATCGTCTTTGCTTTCTTCGATTCTTTTGCAAACATAGCATGTGTTAGAATTAAAACATTTGTTCTGCTGATAAAAATCTTCTATTAAATTCTGTTTAAAATTCGAAATAAGATTGATATTTTAAAGCTTAGAAAAGTGTCGTTTATTTTCATACCATATTTTAGGGAAATTGTGAGGGGGGAGAAGTCCAATTTTAATAGATTTTATTCTAGGAATATAAAAATCGTTTCTGTTTCTCTAAGATTTGCGTTTTGATATTTTTTGATAATATAAAATATTTTTGAAATGTTGGGGGTAATTGATCTCCTTTCAATTGAAATACAAATTTTATGACATTAAAAATTCCTAATTTTCTGAAGGGGAGTATGTTTAAAGCCCAAAAAGCGTCCGCTGTGTGACTTATTCTAGGTAACCCAATAAAAACTCTTAATGTGGCTGGTCAAGGATTAAAATCTCTTGGCTCAACCCTTGGCCAGGTTAAAATGCATTTTAATATATAAAAATTAAGCCCATATTGTGACATTAAACCTTGAATATAAGAAAAGAGAAAAACGTACAGTCGTCTTTGAAGTTTAGGAAGAGAAACCAATAACCATGAGTTGTTAAAAAAAAACTTATTCTACCACATGCACAATGCACATAGCAGCTTATGGCGGTGTTCTTCAAGGATACTCTATGTATATTTGCCCTAAATCTTGCACAGGACGTCACGCTTGAACCCAGATAAGATGTATAGCTGGTCGAAATTAAGAAAATTTGTGTCCAAGAAGTTTACCTATTTAAATTTAAAATGAAAATACACCAATTGAATACAGTTTTCTTTTTCAAAGAAAAAATTAAAAACATTCAGAGTTATTTTTCCGACTATGTCACCTCTATAATTTGATTTTATGCCCAAGAATGAGAAAAAAAAGGTTTCTTGGTTGGAAATTCAAAACATATTTGTTCTTCTGAACTTTTCAACAAAAGGATGTTTTTGTGTTTGTGTTTGAGTTTGTGATTGAAAACTTGATGCTGCGTAGAAGATAAAAATTCCTTAAAGCTTTTTTTATAAAACCGCAAGTCAGTAGATCATGATTCTCGCAAACCAGAGAAGCACTGGTCATATTTTAATAGACTTACAGAGTTGATAAAGTTTCCTTTCGGGGATTTTCGTCTGCTACGTCAATGTAAAGGTGTAAACCTTTGATATTTCAACTTTGACTTTTTGTTCTAACGGAATATTTAGTTTGAGTAATCTATTATATAAGATTACAAGGATACATAAAATCCGAGTTTGAGGCAAGTAATCAGTACTTGTCCATACTTTTAATACCAAAAAAAAGTGTACAACTTAAGAAATCTGAAGGCAGCAATGCATTTAGAATATACATAAATAATTATTTACAATTAATATTTTGACTTATATTGCTAAATTTATATATGTTTATAAGCCACTTCCATTGAGATTGTAAACTTCTTAATATAAAATTTCTTTCTATTTCTTCAATATTGCAATTGTTTAAAGGCTCCTTAACTATCTAATTTTCTATAAAAAATAACTATACTTTGTATATTTATAAAATATATAAGAATTTTCACACTTTTGATATCACTTTACAGAAATTGTACATTTATATATGTGTATACCTGCAGATAATTCCGTATATAAAAATTTCTTGAAAATTAGATATGGAAACTATGGAATGAGTCGTAATGCACGATGAAGAAAAAAATATGTTATAATTCCTTTAACAACGCTGTTATAGGAGAGAAAAATTCAAAACCGTACTTATTGCCAAAAAAAGATTTACATTTTTGTACAGGGTGTCCCAAAAAACATGGGAATTCAGTGAAAAATTGGATATCGTCTTTGTTATGAATTAGCATTGTAATAACTACTTTCAAAAGCCATAATATTATTATGTCTGTTAGGATTTATTTTATGAAAAGGGTAAAAGATGTGTCTATAATGTCTCCGCAAGATGAACAGTGAAGACGGACAAGTTTAAGTTTACTCTGTTTGTATACTGCAAATTTCTTGTTTTACTAAGTACACCCGTATGCAGTCTAAACATAAACAAACAAAATGTGAACATAGCAGACGAAACTCTTACAGATTACAGCTTTCTCAGTAGGTATCACTATCAAAGAATTATTCAAAAAGACGATATCGAATTCGTTACTGAACTCCCATGTTTATTGGGACACCCTGTACATAGAATTGAAAAATCCAAAGTTTGGGACCGAAATTAAAGAATTCCATAATTAATAAACTATTAAAAAGACATCTACTCTGACAAGCGATGTAAAAACGTGAGGATTCAGTGCAAATATACATATTCAGATTTTCAAGTAAGAAAGAAGACCGTGCTTTATTGCAAAACAAACAATTTTTTTTAAAAAACACAATGTATTGCAGTATTAAATTAAACCTCGACAATTGCAAATATTGCAGAAGAAAAACTAAAAATTGAAACACTGAAAAAAAAATGTTTAAAATAATAAAAACATTTGACCATTAGATTATTAGATCATTCAAAGAATCTGGTTGCACAGTTTATATGCAAATACAAATTGACCTCAGGGCACAACTTTTAAATCTGTGTTGAATCATTTGTTGATGGCTTAACCTTTATTTATTTCAGAGGTCAACCTAATTATCATTGGTCAAATTCCCACGGATTCAACCAATGAGAGGCTTTGAGAGCTCTGATAAAAAAATGTTTAATAGTCTGATATAAGCAGTTAGGGTCTCTCATTGGTTGTTACAATTAAAATAATTTCTGCCACTCTTATTTGCCAGACGGCGGGGCCGAAAATTGATAAAGGAATTGAGTTTTGGCCACAAACTCAAATCTTCTGATCCCAATAGCTTTGCAACCTGATGATGCAAACCTTTGATATTCCAAACTTAAATTATTTTATCTATAAGAATTAATAGTTTGAAATATCTAAGATATACGACATTGGGTTACAAAGATATAGAGATTAGAAAATTAGATTTTGTGGCAAAAACTCAACTCCTTTCCCTGATTTAGAAAGTTACAAACGTCAAAACACTGAAGCCAAGGGATATTCGATACAGAAGTAGTGATATCCAAGATGAAGTTTTACCCTTGGTTCTTGTATTTTAAATAAACAATTTCACACAATTGTAGGTGTTGTCTGTTTATAAGTACAAACTATAAATTTTATAGCTTTTAAATAAAACTTGACATTCATTGAAAAGAGTTTCCTTCTTCTACATTAGAAGTTTCAAATGAGTTTAGCATATGAATTCATTACAAGTCTAGACTTATTCTGAAAACTATCTTTTTCTGCACCTTAAGAATTGTGATACCCCTGACACTATCCTGGAGCACCTGGAGCTGAGGGAATCATGTCTGTTACTGATTTTATAATCCTTAACATATTTAGAATCTCCAGGACCCCAGTCTGGAGTTGGTTCAAAAACATCTTGAAGCCTCCTGGAAGGGGAGAAGTAGTAGAAGATCATCATAACTAACCCCCAGAAGGGGACCTGGGCCACCACGATAACGATAAGAAAATTACCGATACCGCCAACGTAGTCAGGATAGTAGATGCTACCCAGGGAGCTCTCTGCATGGGGAGCTTCAAAGGCGTACAAAGAGACTCCAAGGATAAGTCCCAATAGAAGAGGTATAATCACCCAAAGGATCTTCAGAACAATGCTGGTCTTTAACTTTAACATGTAGTCCAAGTCTGCAGCAAAGTTGTTGACTCCATAAATCCACATTATCGCAACAATTTCAAGGATTGCAATCCAAAGAACTGACATCCCTCCTCCATAATCATCCATGATCTGAAAGACAAAGGGTCCTGCATTGGATACGCAGGGCAAGCTCATTAGGAAGCATGAAGCACAAATGATAAATACTAAAAGAGGTTTATAGTTCTTGGATTTTGGGAAACTGTCATAGAATACAGTTAAGACAGTTTCTAGGAGTACAAACTCTGAGTCCAGTCCAAGCAGGAACAGCATAATGAAGAACAAAACAGACCACAGCTGCGGAACCACAAGGCGGGAGAGTGCATCTGGGTAGGCAATGAAGGCAAGACCAGTCCCACCTTTAACAACATCAGCAATATCGTCAAGTCCAGCTTCCAGCTTGAGCTGTCCAAGGATTGAAAATATAACTACTCCAGAGATAATAGAAGTAGCAAAATCCAAAGATGAGATAGCTGTAGCCGTTATATGAACCTGAAAAAAAATTGTGTAAGAATGTAGTTTGATATCAATGTAACGTAGTGTGCCAGAATATTATGCATATTATTTAATCCATTTTCAAACATTTCTGGTTTGGTTTTTGCTTCAAAAATATTGTTTGCTCTATTTGTTTGCCTTTATTTATCTATAAAAATACTTACTTTTTAAGCCTAAAAAAAGTCAAATTAATTATTTAGAAATGACAGCTACACTGACCTTGTGATCAAACTTGTTATAGCTCCCAAACATAACCAGTCCTCCCCATGATATGCCAAGAGAGTAAAACATTTGCTCTGCTGCCTTCCTCCAAACCTCAGGATCAGCAATACTCTTCTTCCCAGTCCAAGCCTTAGGAACAAAGAAAGCTTGAATCCCATCATAAGCTCCAGGTAGGGTGCATCCATAGCAGAGTAGCGCAATCAGAATCACATAAGGGAATGTAGCAGTGAAATATACAACTTTTCCAGTTGTCTTGATGCCTTTAGCTATACAGGAGAATACAATAATCCAGGCTAGAAGCAGGCAGAGAGTTATATCCCACTTGATCACTCCAATATTTCCAGGTTCAGTGAGTGCGTAGGTAAAGGTTCCATCTACAAGAGTACCATTGATCTCACGTGTCTCGTTCACATCCTTTAGAACAGACAAATGTACGCCTAGGACAGCACGGCGATAAAACTGCTCTGCAGAGGTTTCACATATTCCATCCTCTGCAAGACATGTAATATTGGTGGCGTTTGCTGATCTCTCATAGCAGCGAAGGGGATCTGCACCAATACCTTGGAACCAGTCCTCGCTGCACTTTGCCCATGGTACCTCAGCTTGGAATGAGGCAAAGATATAATAGAGACAGTATGAGATAACAACGTTGTAGTATATTGCTACAATGAGTGAAACCACGCATTGTCCAATTCCTATCCCAACTCCAATTGGATTTAGTTTCCACACAGACACCGGACCTCTCTGTGCAAACTGACCAAGAGCTAACTCCATGTAGTACATAGGCTTTCCAATAATTATAAGCAGGATGAAGTAAGCAATGAAGAAAGATCCTCCCCCATTCTCATAGGCTAAGGTTGGGAACCTCCAAACATTTCCAATTCCTACGCATGATCCTATGCATGATAAAATGAACTCCCATTGTGATCCCCAGTGCTCTCTTTCCTCCTCCTCTTCCTCAGGCACATCACTTCCTAGGTCAACTGACTCAGAAGAGGGTCTATAATAAAAAGAAACTTGTGAATATATTTACCGGGTCAACTTGTCTAATTAATTAATTGCTTAATGTCGCCTCCACTTACATTAAGGAGGGATAACCAATCTACCATGAACCCCTCATACAGTTATATTCAAAAGAGGTAGTTATTAAAAATCAGTAATTCATGGTAACTCAGGAAACATTGTGGAAGTGGAAAAAGTAGGACCACATTGTGTGGTCCTTCTTTTTAAGAGCAAAATTTATCAACTACATTTCGAAATACAAGCTGAGGGGCACATTGTTGAATCATCCTTTCTGTAACACAGTAATCTCGGTTTGACATGAATCATAACTAATTTCCAGTAGCTTGTATGTTTGCGTCAAATAAACATGCAAATTGACTTGGTCACATTTTTCTTTTTATGACTTTATATGACCTGGATGAGGGAAGGTCAGCATAGAAAATTCCTCAAAAAAATGTTGATTTTAAGTTTTAATGGAAATCCACCAATGAAATAAGAAATAGTAAATAAAAACCAAAGAAGAACTCATCCACATAAAATGCATACAATATAAAATAAAATTATTAAAAATCATATATGCATTATAAATATAAGAAATCCTGAGAACCGAAATCCTAGGAATAGCATTATTTTCCTGGCAAAATTGTGACCGATTAAAAAGTTTAAGGCCTGATACTGAAAATAAGAACTTGTTTCCATGATAAAAAATATTGTTAAGTCATAGAAATAGGTGTGGTTAGTGTCGTCAGTGCAATGCCTGAGAACTGGGAAGGAAGTTGAAATATGAGTAATAAACAATAAACATAGATTTTGAAAGAAAAGAAATAGGAACAGAATTGAAAATTTAAAAAAAATCTACTCATTATAAACAACAAAGTGTATCAAACGGGAAATACTAATTAATTAAGTAATTAATGTGAAGCAAATTCTCATTAAGTTAATTTTTAAATATTTTTAAAAAAGTAGATATTAAATCTAATCTACTTGCCTTGCATTATTGTGATAGTTGTAGCTTGTTGGAACATAAGGGTGAGTATTTTTCTTTCCATTGCTCAGTCCTCCGTTCTGAACTTCTCCATCATAGGTGGCATAACCTCCATTGTAATACCCTTGGCCATTGGCCTCATGATGCTCTAAGTCATGAGAGTTTTTGGAGAAATTCCAGCTCGGCATTTTTAGCAGATTTTCTTCAGTTTACAGAATACAATCAGGTCTGCCTTGCAATTAATGTCAGGGGACTCAATATCATCTGTAAAAGAATTGTTTTACACTTTCCTCTTTGAGGATCTATGTAACCTCTATTGCGGGTCACAGAGAACTGTTTAATTCAGCTTGCTTAATGCAGGAGTTGGTTGCTATATAAGGGGATTCCCTGTTATCTGTCAATCTGTAATTTACAGGTTCCTCTTAGTCTTCTGGAATCTAACCACTACTGTGAGTTACAGTATAAATATGTATTTTGTTCTTTACTTTATGGGAGTTTCACTGTTACTGCGAGTCTCAGTTTTACCATACCAATATGATTGCAATGTAAGGGGACTCACATTCAACCTTTAAAGTGTACTCTACACTGAACTCTCTAACCATTACTGTGAGTCCGGCGGAGTGCTCTTTATCACTGCTTGATTTTCAGGCAGTATGGACAGTTGAGGTATAATAAGGGGCGCCATAGGTTCTCATTTTTAATTGTTTAATCAATTAAAATCTGAAAATAAATAGATAAATCATTAAGTTATTTACAACAACAGCTTAAAAATAAAAATAGATATTTGTTTTAACAGTTAAAAATTAATTACATAATGTACATTGTACAAATATACAAAAAAAAATCCAATTAAGTCGAAATAAAAAAAGAATATTTAAATCTCTAATTTCTAGCATAAAAAAGTCCCAAGGAACAAGAATTCTGTACTACAAATTACAGTTAAAGAAATAAAGTATGACATTTTATGTTTTCCACTTTGATTTTAGATATCATCGGAAAAAATAATAATATGACTTTTTATCCCAATTGTTTTATTCAGAAGTCTTGGATATGCTATTAACTTAGAACATGCATGGAACACTATGCAAGTATTGTAGATGGAAAATAGCTCATAGCCTCATACCAAGCAAAGATCTTGTCAGAAGAAGCTTGAAAGCTCAAAAGATACTAAAAAACAAGGTTATAATGCAAGAAAAGTTATTTCAGAGGTGTACGCATCTTTTGTAATGCAGTGTACTGTCTTTGGGCGGTAATGTAAACACAAGACAGATGTTGAAGCCTGACATGGGATCCATATTTCACATAAAAAATCAATGAAATATTCTGGTCATAGGAAACTATTGTGTATATTATAAAATGTATTGAAATTTAATGCTGTTAATCTCTTCGGATACTAAACGAACACTGATGCATCTATTCTTGTTTACAAATTCCTGCCCAGAGAGAACTGGTTTCAATATGTACGCAGAGTATACGCAACTGCAATTAACTTAAATTGCATTATAACCTTGCTCGAAAATATACATAATTTTAACCACACGAGGTGAACTAGATGATTACTCATATTCTAAATGTTTATCTTAAGATTCTATGATTGATAATAATTCAGCATTAGATGCTCTTTTTTTCTTTTGTTGAGAGATAATTTTAATATGGAGAGATGCAGTCAATCTACTCTTAAATCTAACTTCCTTGTATTTTACTAGGAAAGATAAAATCACAAATGGGTTTTAATATTTAAGATTTTTAGTCAAAGATAGTCCAAGGAGTTTATTAACTGAAAAGGGAAAATTGCATGGCAAGGAAATTTCCTGGAAGTTTTATCATCATTGGAATCCCCAGACAAAATGTGCGCAAAATGTTAACTGTACTCTCTGAAAGTAAGGTAATTAAACTCAGTGTGCCCACAATTTCTGCAGTGGGAAAACCAGATATTGGAGATATTGCAGTTGTTAAGACATATCATATGGATTATCTCCAAGATTTCCCGCCTAAATATGCACATAATACTTGAAAACCCCATTATTTTCTGCATGTAAATTTTTTATTAGCCTTATAATTAAAAAAAAATTAATAATTCTTTTTAAATTTTCTTTTAAGTCCCGAAAATCGGAATTTTCGAGCTCTTAACTATCCGATATGATGTGGATATCGGCCTGTATATCATGTGCATTGTGCATATGCATGCTTTGACAGCAGACAATGACTTTACTAATTTACGGGAGAAGTCGATACTCAAAAATGTTTTTTATATTCTAATACGCAAAATTTCCTGCCCCTGTTTTTCACTTAAAACCTGTTTTGCCCCGTTAATCTAATGTTTTTATAGCTACAACTGCAAGGCACAGACAGATTAGGAGGTTCCTGGTGTACATTTGTGAAGTACAGTACAACTGTACTATTTATATATATTGAAACATTTGTTTCGTAATAGGCAATATTTTTTTCTTCTCTTTTTATCTTGGCTTTTTTGGGCCTTTTAAAGGTTTAAGCAATGTTAAGAAGTTTTATAAATTTCAAAATTGGTAATTTTCTTAATGTTTGCCTAAATTGAACCCTTGGGAGAAGAACTAAGCAAAAACAAACAAAATGCGATAGCTTTTTTTCAATCACAATTCTAAAATCTACATTCCACAAACGTTGAATTGTCACAACTTGATTCTTTGTCTTAATAACTTTGAAAATTTGTGTATATTTACAATATATCTATAATAATTTGTACACTTAATAACTTCAATATTTACATAATAAATACCTTGTACACTACTGTGTAAGGATTATTTGTACAAAAAAAATGATTTTTATACTAATAATTTAAATAAAATTAAACTCAAAAAAATTTGCAAAAGATCTGAAAGACTTCTACTTATGAAATGCATGATTTTTAATAAATCGCATTTTTTAATTTAGAATTTTGATTTCTTTAACTGCATATTGGAAGTGACACTTAAACGAGGTTTAAAGCAGGAATTTTAAAAACAAAATTTCAAAATTCGTACTTTCACATTAATGGCATTGTCTCTGTCTACATTCGATAACTTTCGTGAAAACCAGGATAGTATCCAGGAGCACCTGGAGTTGAAGGGTTATCAAACCCATTTAATGGTTTCAGATCAAGTCCTTTTCTGATTCTGTAATCCTTAACATATTTAGAATCTCCAGGACCCCAGTCTGGAGTTGGTTTAGCAACATCTAGAACTCTCCTAGAAGGAGAGAAGAGGTAGAAGAGGATCATTACAAACCCCCAGAAGGGAACCTGGGCCACCACAATGACAATTAGGAAAATACCAATACCGCTCACATAGTCGGGATAGTAGATGTTTCCCAGGGAGCTCTTTGCATGGGGAGCTTCAAAGGAGTACAATGAAAATCCCAGAATTAGACTCAGCAGTAGAGGTATAATCACCCAAAGGATCTTCAGAACAATGCTGGTCTTAATCTTCAACATGTAGTCCATGTCATCAGCAAAGTTGTTGACTCCATAAATCCACATGATCCCAACCATTTCAAGGATTGCAATCCAAAGAACTGACATCCCTCCTCCATAATCATCCATGATCTGGAAGACAAAGGGCCCTGCATTGGATACGCAGGGCAAGCTCATTAGGAAGCATGAAGCACAGATGATGAAGACTAAAAGAGGTTTATAATTCTTGGATTTAGGTATGCTGTCATAGAATACAGTTAGGACAGTTTCTAGGAGGGCAAACTCTGAGTCCAGTCCAAGCAGGAACAGCATAAAGAAGAACAAAACAGACCACAGCTGTGGAACTACAAGGCGGGAGAGTGCATCTGGGTAGGCAATGAAGGCAAGACCAGTCCCACCTTTAACAACATCAGCGATATCGTCAAGTCCAGCTTCCAGCTTGAGCTGTCCAAGGATTGAGAATATAACTACTCCAGAGATAATAGATGTAGCAAAATCCAAAGATGAGATAGCTGTAGCTGTGATATGAACCTGAAAGTAACATAGATAATTATACTTCAAAAAGTATTCCACCAAGATTTTCTGTTTTAAGCATTAAATTTCATAAATATTACATAATATTGGGAACATGAAATCAAGAACATTTAAATCCAAAATAATGCATTTTAATAGGGATTGGTCTCACAGTTGAGATACAGTCCATTCTGTTTGACGCATACAATTTGAAGTGGAATTAATCTTACAATCATCCAAGTTTTGGTTTGTTTGAAAATAAGCAAATGTTTAGGAATTTTCAAAAATGCTGACATAAGATCTAAGTGGAATTAGAGTATACTAGATTGGCCATTTGCTTTCTTTAAACGGTATAAATTAGCATCTTTTAAAAGTTGAAAAATAGCCAAACCTTGTGATCAAACTTGTTATAGCTCCCAAACATAACCAGTCCTCCCCATGATATAGAGAGAGAGTAAAACATTTGCTCTGCTGCCTTCCTCCAAACCTCAGGATCAGCAATACTCTGCTTCCCAGTCCAAGCCTTAGGAACAAAGAACGCTTTGATCCCATCATAAGCTCCAGGTAGGGTACATCCATAGCAGAGTAACGCTATCAGAATTACATAAGGGAATGTAGCAGTGAAATATACAACTTTTCCAGTGGACTTGATTCCTTTAGCTATACAGGAGAATACAACGATCCAGGCTAGAAGCAGGCAGAGAGTTATATCCCACTTGATCACTCCAATATTTCCAGGTTCAGAGAGTGCATAGGTAAAGGTTCCATCTACAAGAGTACCATTGATCTCACGTGTCTCGTTCACATCCTTCAGAACAGACAAATGTACGCCTAGGACAGCACGGCGATAAAACTGCTCAGATGAGGTTTCACAAATTCCATCCTCTGCAAGACATGTAATATTGGTGGCGTTTGCTGATCTCTCATAGCAGCGGAGGGGATCTGCACCAATACCTTGGAACCAATCCTCACTGCACTTTGCCCAGGGTACCTCAGCTTGGAATGAGGCAAAGATATAATAGAGACAGTATGCCATAACAACGTTGTAGTATATTGCTACAATGAGTGAAACCACGCACTGACCAACTCCTATCCCAACTCCAATTGGATTAAGTTTCCACACAGACACCGGACCTCTCTGTGCAAACTGACCAAGAGCTAACTCCATGTAGTACATAGGCTTTCCAATAACTATAAGCAGGATGAAGTAAGCGATGAAGAAAGACCCTCCTCCGTTCTCATAGGCTAAGGTTGGGAATCTCCAAACATTTCCAATTCCTACAGAAAGTCCAACACATGAGAAAATAAATTCCCATTGTGAACCCCAGTGTTCTCTCTCCTCCTCCTCCTCATCTCCGTTGTCTCCTCCAAACTCTTCACTTCCCAGATCTACAGATTCTGCAGGTGTCCTAAATAATATAAATAAGTCAGTCAAATCATTTAGAGATTAAGTTAGAGGTATCATCTAAGTAACCTTATTGGGGTCAGTCCTGACCCCCCCCCCCCCCTCCCAAGGGCGTACACAGGGGTTTTAGGTTCAGTGACCCCCCTAAAACTCAGAGCTATAACACTTTTTAAATCTGAAACTGAAGAGTAATAAGTTTGCTGTTTTGTTATGATAGTTTTGTTTGAAGGAGAGATACAGTAGCTTACTTGTAAGGTAATTGGACTTTATTTGTACCTTTAAAGTATCCAAGAAGCCAAATGTTTTGAATTTACAGTTCAAGTTTCTGTGTGCGCCTTTGCTCCCCTTTCCCCACCCCCATTGTCTGTTTAAATGTAATACTTCAAAAGTCATACAAAAAAAGTTATTCTAATCTAATATTAATCTAAAACTTTTATAGCGGATATTTCTGGGCCAAGCTCAACAGCTGGAAAATGTTAGTGGCCGAGCACTGCTACAACCCTAAAGTGAAAAATTGCACATTTCTGTGTGCATGATTTTTAAAGTCGCACACTTTTTCGGACAGAGGGTAAAGAATTAAATAGGTAAGAAGTATATTGATAAGAATGAGTAGGACTATAATTGTATACTAAGGTTAGGTTAGGTTAGGATGAATGAAAGAATGAATGAAGAGAAAGAGTGGAGTAGAGGAAGGTTAGGATAAAAATATGATGAATGAATTAATCAATTAATGAAGAGAAAGAGTGCAGTAGAAAAAGGTTATGATGAAAATATGATGAATAAATTAATCAATTAATGAAGAGATTGAGTGCAGTAGAGAAAGGTTAGGATGAAAATATGATGAATAAATTAATGAATTAATGAAGAGAAAGAGTACAGTAGAGAAAGGTTAGGATGAAAATATGATGAATGAATTAATCAATTAATGAAGAGAAAGAGTGNGCAGATAGATAGACAGATAGGATACACGGAATGCAGATAGACAAATAGATAAATAGATAGATAGGATACACGGACATACAGATAGACAAATAGATAAATAGATAGATAGGCAGATAGACGGATAGGATACACGGACATACAGATAGACAAATAGATAAATAGATAGATAAATACAAGGGTGTAATGCAAGGAAAGTTAATTGCGGTCGTGTATACTCTGCGTACATATTGAAACCAGTTCTCTCTGGGCGGAATTTGTAAACAAAAATAGATGCCTCAGTGTTCGTTTAGTATCCGAGGAGGTTAAAAGCATTAAATTTGATAATTTTGATATTTCACATAATAGTTTCCTATGACCAGAATATTTCATTGATTCTTTTATGTACAAAAGATGCGTACACTTCTGAAAAAACTTTCCTTGCATCACATCCCTGGATAAATATATAGATACCCGTGTAGCTAAACAAATTGATGAACACACAGATAAATATACAAATAAACAGATAAACGGACAGAAAAATAGATATAAAAAATAATGGACTAATTGATAATCGACAGATATAAATATAGATAGGTAAAAAATCAACAAATAGCCAGGATAGAAAGATGAATACATTTTCAGAAAGACATATAACGTTACACATTTAAGCAGACCGTCATATATTTACAGAAATAGAAACAGTTAGACACTGGGACTTAAAACTGCTTCACAAATCTAATAATTTTCAGTACAGAGACTAGTGTCTACAGACTACAGATGGTATTTAATCAAAAAGAACCAGATGGTCATATTTTGGTGTTAAATACGCAATGGGAAAATTCTACTTCTAGCAATATCTATATTCTTGATTTTCAACTTCAATTTCATTTTTTTATTTCTTAAATTTTCCTCTACCACATTCCGGTTCAATTGGTACCACACCATATTCATTGCCATACCACAGCTTTCTTACTGTACCACAGAATATTCTCTGTCGTACCACAGAGTTCTTACAATACCACACCTTATTCCCTGCAGTACCACAGAGTTCTTACAATACCACAACTTATTCCCTGCAGTACTACAGAGATTTAATAGTACCAAACCTCATTCCATATCGTACCACAGGATCACCGACATAGCGTCAAAATACAGCAATCCCCATACTTGTTAACCTGGAGATACCAAGTTAAATTACGTTGTACATTGTCTGTAAATCCTAATGCGCTTATCATTAACAACGCAAAACTTGTAACATATTTAACCTAGCCTAGATACATGTAAATATGTCGTAAACTGTATTGTGATTAGCATAACTACGCTTATAGATATCTGCGCTAATCTTGTATATAAGTGCATTAAACTTAAACAATGCTGTATTTATATATATCGACGTAATTATGTCGATCAACGTTAGCTTGTAACATAGATTTCTAAATACACATTAGTTGGAAAATACTCCGCTTTGATTACGGCGATAGAAGTAATTCGTTCCTAGTCTAAAGGAACAAGATACGGGAATTGTGCCTATTGATTTGACATTGATAGTTTGTGTGCTTATGTCTGGTTAACATTGAAGCCTATGAGATTGTGCCCATTGGTTTGGCATTTATAGTTTGCATGCTTATGTCCGGATGACATTGAGGCCTATGAGATTGTGCCATTGGTTTGGTGATATGATATGAGATTGTGCCATGGTTCAACCATCATTTCCTGTACCATGCGTCACTCCCTCCACACCTCATTCCCAAAACCAAACTTCATTCCCTATACCACACTTCACTCCCTGTACCACACTTAATTCCTGAACCACAACTCACTCCCTTTAACACACCTCACTCCCTGTAACAAACTACACTCCCATTACCCCACCTCATTACCTGCACTACACCTCATTCCCTGTAACACACTACAATCTCTTTACCCAACCTCATTACCTGCACTACACCACATTTCCTGTAACACACTACACTCTCTTTACCCAACCTCATTACCTGCAATACACCACACTCCCTGTAACAAACTACACTCCCATTACCCCACCTCATTACCTGCACTACACCTCATTCCCTGTAACACACTACACTCCCTGTACCCAACCTCATTACCTGCACTACACCACATTTCCTGTACCACACCTCATTCCCTGTACCACAACACTCCCTGTACCACAAACTTCAGTTGTAGATCTAATCCTCTACACTTAAAATCGTCCATGTATGTTAAAGACTTCTAAAATAATTCAAAAGAAAATGTTAATTAAATGTTTCTTTATTAAACATCGGTTGTCAGAAAACACTAAGTTGTTATCAGTCTCTGTTGAAGGGCTGAGATTGTTAGAAATGTTTACAATAGTTCATAACTACTGTTTTCCTTAGTATTATTCAAGAGTATGGAAGAGGTGTGTGTGCAGAGAAATAAAAGAAGAAAAGATGGAAATACGGATTCAGGATTGAATAGGGGGGGGGGGCTGGAGAAGTAGCAGGGAAGATGGAGAATCTTGGAAAGTAGCAGGAAAATGGGGAGAATCTAGAAAAGTAGCAAGGAAGGGGGATCTAAAAAAGTAGCAGGGAAGGGGGAGGACATAGGAAAGTAGCAGGTTAGGGGGGGGGGGGGTCATGGTAAAAAGTAGGGAAGAAAGGGGGTTATCTCTGAAAAGAGACGAAAAAGGGGGATCTTGGAAAAAAATGAATTGAATCAATCAAAAATATTTGATTGTTACCAAATACTCTTTACTTGCCTCGCATTATTGTGATAATTGTAGCTTGTAGGAACATAAGGATACGTATTTCTCCATTTATCATTCACTCCTCCTCCTCCTCCGTTCTGCACAGCTCCTGTAGGACCAGGATACACACCTTCCTTGGTGGATCTACGATCAATTGATCCGACATATCCAGAGTTACCGTAGGGATTATAACTTCCATAAGCATTATTATTCTTATACTCGTTATGTCCTCCCCCGTGACCATAGGTGGCATACCCTCCGTTGTAATATCCTTGTCCCCCGGCCCCCTGGTGTTCATAGTCGTGACCGTTTTTAGAGGATTTTCTTCTTGGCATTTTTTGCGGATTTTCTTCAATTCACTTCTGTACACTTGTTACATAACCTGGACCGCAGGTATAGTTGCAATAAACTCACTTGTCAGTCCTAAATATATATTTCATGCTGTGTCATTACACACCTTACTCTCCCAGGCTAAAACCATTTATTACAAGGTTCAGAGTAACAATCCCACGGAGATTTTAACGTCGTTTTTCTCCCCTTGTTTAAAGTTAGTGACCTTGCAGTGAGTCCAGTGGGTTTCTCTTGGACACTGCTTGATTTTCAGGCAGAAATCAGGCAGGACAGGCAGGTAGGATATATTGGGGGGCGCCGCTTATTTAGCTTCAAGCTATGGTTCCTACGATCAATCATTCAAGAATCTGAAATGATAAAATAATTACGAAAAATCCGAAACTCTAGTCTGTAATATAATACACGAAAATTGGGGAATTAGTTGGATGATTATAATCTCCATATATTTTCATATATTTTCAACCCTGAACCCTTGGAGCTGAATAGAATACATCTAAGATTCTGAGAACCAAGAGAGAATTTATCCAAATTGGTCAACGATATGTATTGTGGGTCAATATGGCGCATGTGGATACAAGGTCCTCCAAAATTTACCGGACAGAAATGAATAAAAGGTTTTTTTTTCAATACTAATAGATACATGTATAGACATAAATTTTAAGGATAAATTGAAGGTTTGAAGGTAAAAGAGATAAATGACAATACATTTGAATAATTACTTTCCCGCTTTACAATGTTACCCTTTTTAATCTTTAAAGGGAGTGTTCGCGAACAATGAAAAGGGGTATAGGCTTAATGCGATAAAAAAGCGCTTTTGTTCTATAGGGAGAAAATTGTTAAAAACGACTCACACCGCAGAATGCAGATATTACAAACAGTAGTCATCGATTATTTTTCGATACATTCGTATATAGTTAATATTTCATAATATTTTTGATTTTTTTAAAAATAATTTTCGCTGGCACTGGATTTTCTAACATTCCTGGAAAATATAAAAATGTCGTCTTCATTATAAAAAATCCTAGAAACAGGAATAAATGTTTTCAAAAGTAACTCTCAGATCATGAAAAATACAAAATATTATCAACTATTTACGAATGCGTCAAAAAATAATCGATGACTATTGTTTGTAATATCTGAATGATTTGTTTGATATTAAATTGATTTGTTTACGATCCGAGTTGAATGTTGCATCTTTCTGAATTTGAATGGACACTACGTTCTTCGATGTGATTCGTTTTTAACAATTTTCTCCTTAAAGACGCAACAGATAGAAGTAAGATTAGTAGCGATAAAAAGCGCTTATTTTTCGCCGCAAGCCTATACCCCCTTTCATTTTTCGCGAACACTCCCTTTAATCTGAGTAACAACGAGAAGGCATCATCGTTTTCCTTTCTACCACTTTTATTCCTTGTCTTTGCTCTATAAATATGCAATTGAATACCACAGAGAAACTACAAGAACATGTATCGTTTTTACAGAGAAAAAACAAGAAGGTGATATCCATCATATTTGTTTTGGAAAATGGTTATTTTTGTTAATCAAACATGTAACTCTTAAAATATTGAATCATTGACATTTCCTATGAGATTTAAATCGTAAAAATATGTGGATTGTAAATTGTCTGAAAGTTAAAACGAAGTTTAAAACTCCAATATTTTATTCCTTTAATATAGTATAACAGCTATTATACTGATGCATATAAAAAGTTACAAAAACTGAAGAAATCAAAGAACAATGGTACAGTTTCTTTGCCTATAGAAAATACAATAGGTGGCTCACACCTCTCTTTGTTTCAAACGTATATGTAGAGGAAGCCGTTATGAATCACTGTTAATATATATTATGCTTACTTTAAATTCAGACTAGAACTGAAATAATTCTATTCTTAACAGGTGTGTTTTCATAATTGTTTTATTATACATAAGCCGTGTATCATGTATGCAACATAAATTGTAGGATGCATTTTTTGATGATGAACAGTTTTTTTAACGGTTTTTATCAGTTAATATAGAGTACCATAATATAATGTATGAATGTACCGAACATGTCAAGAAATTAAGTCTTTGCCACAAATTGTGATTTTTAAATCCTTAAATCTTTGCAACCCAATTTCCAACTATGAATTCTGTTAGATCAAATGATTTAAGTTTTAAATGTCAGAGGTTTATACCAGAAAGATTTGGGATTAGAAAATTTGAGTTTGTGGCAAGTTGACTCAATTCCTTTAGGTTAGAAAATGATGGGAGGCGTTGGGAGACATTTTAAATGGGAAGTAACATACGAACTTGGTAAATACAGGGTTGGGAGACATTATATATGGGAAGTAACTACGAACTTGGTAGATACAGGGTTGGGAGACATTTTATATGGGAAGTAACTACGAACTTGGTAGATACAGGGTTGGGAGACATTATATATGGGA